TGCCCACTGAAACATCATAGAGGGTTTCTGCCAGCATTTACCCACTGTGCTCCTGTTCACAGAAACATTCTATGGGGCTTTGGAAAGAGCACAGGCCTCTAAGCCAGGGAACCTTGGCTCTGACACACTGGAATTATGGACAAGTCACTTCCCCCTTCTGGCCAGGGGAGGTGGCTATAGGTGACAAGCAGATGAGCAGGAGCCTGGTGGTTATGTCTTATAGCTGTGCCTCTTCTGAAAGTGTGGTGAACTTTAAGCAGGGTACCTGTAGAGTTGTCTCTGCACCTCTGAATCATGCCCTGAAACCCTTGGCCAAAAACACTGACCCAGCTATCCTGGTGCCTAGAATTCATCTATAGCCCTTCATTCTTTTGAGAGAATGCTTTATTTCACCAAGATTCCTATTTCAAATGCAAATGCATCCCTTACAGGGACTGGAAAGCCCTCCTGTCACTCAAACCATAGGGGAAGAGACAGATCAGGTACTCAATGAGAGGGATCCTGTACCAGAAAGTGAATCTAGAGGATGCAGCATGAGGACAATGAGGGAAAAAGACTGGCTCTTGTTCCCGAGTGGGGAAAACAGGATTTCAAAACAAGAAAGAGAAAGTCTGGAAATCACTGGTCGGGGGCTGGAGGTGGAGGAACCTTCCTAGCTCCAAGATTCTGGCTCTGCTCAGGGAAATCATTCTTTTGAGTCCCACTTTCCTCCTGTGCCAAAAGGGATAATAATGCTTGGGAATGACATGGGGCATTGCAGAACTAGCAGAGTGGCACGAATGTTTACCCCCTCCCCCACTTTTAACTGATTTCATAGATCTGCTGTGTACACAGCAACTGCAACAAATGTCCCTCTCTCCCCATCCACCCCTATACACAGGCTCCTTTGGCTTTTCCTGGCTTTAGCCAGGTCCCCAAACAGGGCACTCTTTGAGTGGTGCCATGAAAGGGTATTTTGTGCTGCTCTTGGTGTTGCTGGACAGGAGTTCCCAGAGTCAACACCCTATTGCTTCCTTCTCCCAGACAACTTTCTCTGCCCACTGTGTGTAAAGGGAGATGGGTGGGGTGGCCCTGCCCTTTTCCCCCTACTGGCACACATTGTGCTCCTGGGGCTCCAGCAGGGAAGCCCTCTCAGCCCTCTCTGGCCCCACAACCCTTAGGAAGAGCACTGCAGCTTTCCTCTCCATTATGTCCCCTTCCCTGTTCTAACATTTGGGGGATGAGCGACTTTTGTCTCAAGGACAATGAGTGGGCCACCTCACTTACTTGGATTCTCATGAAGCACCCAGCAAGGTGTGTTTGTGGAACTAAAATGATTCATTCATGTATTTGACAAATATCTCCATGTGACAGGTTCTTGGCCAGTAGGCAGCAGAGGCACACTGGATAGACCTCTTCAACACTGGTAAGATGTTGTAGGCTGCTCCCTAAAATTTTTGGCTCCAAAAGACATTACAATGTGAGCAAAGATAACAGGATACGGGCAAGGGAGGGCTGCCTATCTTTGGTGACAGATCTAAATTTTGCTACTTTATAGCTATGTGACCTCAGGCCAGTTTTACTTTCTCTGCCTCAATTTCATGTATAACAGACATTCTAGTGCTTATTGCATTGTGAAAAAGGAAATAAGTACTCCTAAGTTCTTAGCATAGTGTCTGGTCTGTAGTAAAAGATGACATGATCACTAATGATAACAGTCATGAATGTAAAGAGTAATAACTGGAGTGGGTCTTGCAAGGGATGTGCAGTGCAAGGCCAAGAGTCCAGGTTGGACAAGGCTGTTAGAATAGTGCAAGGCAGGAAAAACAAAATTATAAACAAGCAATGCCCAAGCCATAGTCACTCCCACCTCCCAACCCACCCCGCAGTGCTGGGGATCCAACTCAGGGCCTTGGGGATGCTGGACAAACACTGCTACCTAAGCTGCCTCTTAGCATTCAGTCCTATTTAGAATTAGTTACCTACCCACTACACCCTGGTGGGACTCTGAAGCCACACACCACTTTCTACTGGACTAGTCAGACTTTCAGAGGACATGGAGACTGGTGCAAACATAAAAGAATGAGGCCTTGTTACTTTAGCTGTGGTGTGGTGGAGGGACTTGGCTTTGAAAGCACTAAGTGGGAAGGACGCTGGGGAGGGACACCAAGGGGGAGGTGTCTTGCCCCGGCTCTGCTGTGCCACCCTGGTGAGTTGCTGACCATCAGACCTCACTTTCCACAGCACTTTCTTTGCTTTCCTCCCTAGGGAGGTGAGGTTCAGGAGAAGGAGTGAAAAGGGGTTTGGAAAACCAATATCCTGGCCAGAAGTAAGGTGTTATCATTCATAGTTCAGGGGACAGGCGGTCCCCCTATCGCAGGCCTAGCCTGGCCCTCCTTCCTGACCTCTGTGGAGCCTCCCATCTTCAAGACTTGCTCACAGCCCTCCTCCCTTCCCATGAAGCCTGTTGGGTCCCAGTGCCCTCTCATCAGATCTCCACTCAAGGCTACATGGTCCTGTGATGGTTTGAGGGTCTGATAGGGTAAATGTCTAGTTACCCTCTCTATCCCGAATGCCAGCAAAGGCCTGGCACTGAGTAGGCACTCAGTTAGTGCAATTAGAATAAACAAATGAGGCTTGCTCAGTGCTATAGTTTGAGTGTGTCACCAAGGATTTATGCATTGGAAGCTCAGTCCCCAGTGTGGTGACACTAAGACGTGATGGGACCTTTAAGAGGTGAAACCTAGTAGGAAGTAAGTAGGTCACTGAGGGTGACCTTGGAAGGAATTTCTGTAGTTCTTGTGGGACCCTAGTTGGTTCTCCAGAGAGTGGTGGTACAAAAGAGCAAGCCTGAGCCCTGAATTTCTCTTTGACTTTCTGCCTCACCCTGTGATCTCTCCCTATGCACACTCCTGCCATAAGGATATCATCTTCCATCAGGCCTTCAGCAGGTCCTAGCTGATGCTATTGCCATGCCCTTGAGCCCCCAGAACTGGGAGCTAAGTAAGCCTGTTCTTTATAAAATAACCAGCCTCAAGTATTTTGTTGTAGTAGCAGAAAACAGATTACCCCAAATCACAGTGACTCCCTTCCTCTGAGTGATAATTCATATTTTCTTGCATGAAACATTTTCTTGCTGTGCTTCAATGCTGCAACTTAGGAAACATTTTTGTCTCATCCTCCTACTGGCTTAGCTCCCAAGGACTGTGCCCTGAACCCCTCGGTACCCCCAACCCCAGCTGAGCCCTGGGCCTGCTCCTGGAAAGTGCTCAATAAGCAGCTGTTGCTTAGTCTGCAATCACATGCTCCTGGGTTTCAGTTACCTGGTTAAGCTGTTTGATAATTGCGGCACCTCAGACACTGTTAAAAGCGTATGTGTTGAGTGCACAAGGTTTCAAGGCAGACCGTGGGACCTTGGGTCCTCGCTCTGTCATCTTGTGTGTAAAGCGGGGATAATAACTTTCCACCCCTTGGGGTTAGCATTAACTAATGCATGAAATCCTTGAAGCAGTGCCATCTCAGTAAGCTCACATGCATGGTATTGCTGTGATTGGCTCATACGTCCTGGCATTCTGAGTAGTCTGGACTCAGAAGAAAGGGAAGCAGTTTTGCTGCATGCAGTAGTGTTGTATCTCAGGCCCATTCCTCTGGAGCTGGAGGAGGCGGGTTGGGTAGGTAAGTCATTTAGTAAAATTTCCAGAATCCTGGCACACTCAGGGATGTGACCATGCTTGGCAATGCTTGGGGAAGCTGGATATCAGAATGCAGGAGCCCTTTCTAGGGGCCACTGAGCTCTAGGAAGCTGAGCTATGGGGATCCCACGGAGGAAAGGGGCAGAGTCAACATCAGTCTAACCACCCAGTCCTTTCACTGTGTGGATTCTTTGTGAGCAAGACACACCCACATCCCAGTAGCCTCAGGGTTACCTTGGCACCAGCGCTCAAATATCACCGTGACCTATTGCTGCAGCCACAGCTCTCCTCCTACTGCTGGGAAAGATTCCTCATTAGACTCTGTACAAATTCCCTTCCACAACGCAACTCAAAGGATGCCTTTGCAAAAACGCTGAATGCCAACTTACTTGAAACAGACCCTCTGGGAATTCCACCAGGACTCTGAGCACAGAGACTAGTGCAAGCAGCCTGGCAATTAAACAAATGTTGAAATTCATTGCACTGGGGGGTGTAATAGAGGCATTTACAAAGTAGTGGGCACCCTAGAGCACTCACCTGCAAGGAAGACAACAAAGGAATGGAGTCATTTCAATTCAGGTGTGTGTCAAGAAGAAAATGAATGAAATCAGTTAATAATACAAAGTGGTGGGAAGGTAGGTGGACAGGGAAGGCCCTTCTAAAGGGACACTGAGCCAAGAATGGAAGGAACAGAGCTGGGCTGTGGGGACAGGGAGAACAGCCAATGAGAAGGCCTGAGAGGTGGGAGTGTGGAACACAGTGACTCTGAGGAACAAAGAGAATGTCAGCAGCTGGAATGTGGTGAGCGGGGAGCAGGAGGTGAGTCAGACTGAGAGGAGAACATAACTAATAAAATGTTATAATCTACTTTCCACCCAACGTTACAATGTAAGCATATTCTGAGTGGGGAAAGGATTAGTAAACATTTTTAATGACTGTGTTAAAAAATGATCATATAAAAAGAAAAAGATTATTTTTACTTTAAAAAAATCTTCATGTGATGTACTGTGGGGCACAGACATGATCACTGCCCCGGGTGCAGTGGAAGTCAGGAGGAAGAAGGGCTTAAAGTCACGGGGGCTGAGCTAGCCCCTCCTGCAGGTGTCCTCACTGCCACTACTGGGTCCCTGTTGTCGAAGATCAAAGTGGCAAAACCCCATTGACCAAACCCAGAGACTGCCAATAAGTTCTACTTCCAACAGAGTGTCTAAGCTCCAGAAACTTCTCTCAGACCTACCGGCCCTCCTTTGAATTGTCTATTCTACTCCGACTTGACTCTCGGAGCAGATGAAAATGTAAATAATCCTCAGGGGGCCTGGTAAAGAACTCACTGCCTCCCATTTGCAAGGAGCCAGCAATGCTGACAGGGCCTTCTTCCACGAAGTGGTTCTCTCCCTCCTCTCCTTCCCTGGCCCCAGGATTTCACAGCTGCTCCCCGCCAACACTTCAGTCTTCAGGCCTGGAGCTACAGGGTCTGCGGAATTCCTGTCCATATTCGTGGATCCACTTGTTGGCCACTGGGAGAGGGGAGAGAGCAGGGGTCAGCTGGTGGCCGGCTCCAGGGCTGGGCACCCGCTTGCTCAGGCTCCCTCCCTTGCTGGGGATGAGGTTGGGGAGTGAGCACCTTCTAAACTCCGGCACCCAGCCGCTCATTTGCCTGGCCTAGTCCTGACCCCACTGTGGACTACATGCTATTTCTTCTAACAAAGTTAAATACCTCTTGGAGATTTTCTAGATGACGTCGATTGTAAACTAATTTTCAAACTGGCAGCATCCATCTCAGCATGAGTCCTCTTCCACTTCCCCTCTGTCTTCAGAGCTAAGTGCTCTGGGATGGACACGCGCACACACACACCACAGTCACGTTCATCAGCTGCTTATCCATTGCTTCCTTATTGGACCGCCTCCTACTGGAGAGGCACTAGATGGCAGCAGTGGGGGATCTCTGGTTCTCTCCTTGGAGCAGAACTACATCTGCTGTGCCCAGGAGTCAAGGCCTCTCTGGTCAGGTCAGGACACCTGCTCTATGATAGGACCCTGGCTCTTCATGGGCTCCCAAACTGTTGTGGGAACTCCGTTGATGATGTGATCAATATAACAGCATTACAATGAAGCCTTCAGAATGCGGGGCGGGGCGGGAGGGGGGAGAGCTGTTCTGTTTCCCACCCACTCCTGATTTCACTTTTCTCTGCACACCTCACTGCATTCCCTCACCTAGAATGGCAGGCCTTACCCCACTTATCTCCCACTAGGACAGGACAGCCAGCATGAAGTGTGTCGTCATCCCCCTCACCATTCCTATGCAGATTCCACCAAAACAGTGCTGCATTCTGAAAACAAGAAGGCCCAGCCCTGGTGAGACTCAGTCCAGAATGTCTTCCCTTGGGAAGCGTGTGACTAAGGACAAAGCATGTAAGCCATTCAACAAAACTTTCCATGCAGTTCGGGGAAAAGCACACATAAAATGGCACAGATGACAAGTGGCTATTCACTCATGCAGGCATAGCTCACTGACTGAGGACCTGCTCTGCTCCAGGTCCTGGCCACGCAGCCAAATCATATCCAGTTCTGCAGTTGAGAGCTCAAGAGAGACAGACATAAAGGAGACCAGGACAGGATAAGTGCAATGAGTGCTAGAAGAAAGGTGAGCTTGGGTGTCATGGGATCCCTTAGGACAGATGCCCAGCGGTACCCATGAGTTGGAACAAGATAATCCTCACACAACTGAGTACGTTGCTAGTTCAGCAGCATTTGCTCCTTTAAGCACTTGCTTCCAACCCCTAGAAAGCCGGCATCATCATAGTCCTCCTCCAGTCCAAGCAAACAAGTTGACACTTGGGGCCTTGAAATCATGGCACTAGGGAGCAAAGTTTAGACTCAAGCCAAGGTGTTCTAACTGCAAATCCTCTGTGTTCGTCCCCTGCTGTGCACTGCTTTTTTTTTTGGTCCTATCTACTTCCTATGGATTTACTTTAAATTTGGCCATTAGACAAGACCAAACCCAAGGTAATGAAGCCTGTGTTTCCAAACCTAGATGAGATGCCAAACCCCTAGGCCCTCACAGACAATGGTGTTTGCTTATTGGATGCTTAGGATGTGCCAGGCACTGTGCTAAGTGCTTTATAGGCATGATCTTTCTTATTCCTCTGCCTTTCGTTCCTGAACTAAGTAAGGGCTGTCAGGAGTTTGACTGATCTGAAACTTGTGGGAAATATTCATGCATTAAACACATCGCTTGCCACATGGTTCTCTTCTGGTCTGTTTTTTCCATAGCTCTTACTGTGGTGCGTAGTTACTGACTGTTATTCTCAGTGAGGCCCTGTGGAAAAGGTTCTGGGTCTTTCTCTATACCCTCAGTGCCCTAGCTTTCAGTGTGGATGGAACTGATGCTGTGGGAACTAGCTGCTATGGAGGAGCCAAAGGCGAGTCAGAGATCTTACCTTTGAAGAGCTCTGTTGTAACAGGGAAGACAAGCATGTCATCATCTACTTGTAACCTCTTTTTTATCCCCTCTCCCAGGTATCAGCTCATGAGCAGATAGTTTGAAGGGTAAGGAGTTAGTTCCATGCATAAGCCCCATCTTCTGGGTCTGGGCCCCACTCACCTTAACCACAGGCATGCTAAAGTTGGCATAGATGAAGGCCGTGGCTCCTCCAGCTTCCACCGAGCTCAGCTACAGTGCAGGAGGAAGAAGCCAGAGTTAAAATAGCTGCTGCTGTCCCTACTCTGTCATGTGCTCATAAACCTGTTTGAGGTCATTTCTGCATAGACTCCCTCCTATGCTCCCCTATTTAAACTCTGGGAGCAATACTTAAAAGACAATCATCCAACTTCAGAATTCAGAGAGCCTCCACCATGGCACTGGTGCTTTGCCTTCAGGACAAGATTTTGGAATTCCTTCTTTCTTCTTCCTTCCTGCTAACATCTTTATCGAGGGCAACAATAAGTAGATTCAAACTCTAATTGAGACCCTCATAGAGAAATACATTTCACATCATAATCCAGCACACACACCCCACACACAGCCCTTTCATAAGACATTTTTCCTACATGAGCTATCCCTGATGTTTCCTATTTTATTTTATTCTATTGTAGTTCAGTTTTCTAAAATGCTGACCACATAATCAATCTCACTACCAACTAATGGATCATGACTTATGACTTGGAAACAAGTTTAGACTACAACGATTTGTTTTGAAAGACCGGCATCAAAGGAACAGCTCAGTGCACCTGATGGCAGGTTCCCCAGATCACTCAGGTCCCCTCTAAGCTCAGGACTTTCACTGTGGGAATATTCTTGGGTTTTGGATATGTTTTCTTAATATGAAGTTTTTTTCTGGTTGTCAAAGAAATACATAATAGCCATATGGATTTTTAAAACATAGGAAAATATTAAAAAGTAGTATCACATATCATCTTACAATGCAGAAAAAAACATTTTTAGTTTACACAGTAATCACTGGAATTTAATGAAGTAATATTTGGCACTTATAGTAGACATTATGAAGTCCTCACAAACATATTATCTTACCACGCCTCACAAAAATCCTGTGAATTAAGATTGTTATCACTCACATTTAAAAATGGGAAAATCAAGACTAGAGAGATTAACTGCTTTACAAAAGGTCACATTAACTCTTCCATGACAAAGCCAGATTTGAGCCAAGCCAGTGCGATCTGGCTGAGTGCCTGCTCAAAGCTGTCATGCTACACTGTTGAACATTTAGGTCATTTCCCAATATTTACTATTATAAACAACACTGTGCTGAACATCTTAATGAAGGAAATTATTTTTGCATTTCCTTTGTTTTCAGAGGAAGGAGCCCTAGTGTTAGTATTATTAGGTCATAAGGGTGTGCATAAATTTAATACTTCTGATACATACTGCTAAGTTATTTTCTCACCAGACTATGACAAGGAAGAACTAGTTTTACCCCACTACCAGAAGGTTCATGTTTAATCTTGTGGCAATCAAACCATACCCACTTGTGTTTTAGAGCAAGAACTATAGGAGTTAGGTTGTTGGCATTGGTTAGAGGGAAGTGAACTGACTTGGGGATTCAGAACCTGGAGAAGGCAGTGATGGTTTTGGTCAATAAGAAACTGGATGGTTTTCTTCTAAGCCCCCTCTTCCTGTTGCGTAATCCTGCAATCCTTTCCCTGTGGTTTTACAATGTAATGGAAAGGAATGACTCACTACCAAATTAAAAAGAGTATCTGACTCAGCATGCCATGGAGCTCATGAGGAAGGCATGGCTGTGACGGTGGGAGGGAGAGAATCCTCCCTCTGCGAACCTCTCACTGTTTCATACGAGGACTGGATCTTATGTCCAGTCTGAAAACCACTAACCTGGTTTCAACTCAATTCTCTGCACCTCTTAAAGATTATTTTCTCCCTACAATATCATTTGTTTCAAACAAACTTCAACAGTTGCCTTTAGAAATCTTTGATGGTCTTTATGCAACTGAAAATGAAAGAATTAGACATCACCAAGCACTTCCTAGGTACCATGACACCGATTCCCCCTGATGGGGTCCTTTACTTGCTTAGTGGGACACAATGATAGGAACAAAAAGTTGAAACTTTCCAGAGTGACATCGCCCTTCATTATCTCATCAGATCTTCATGACAACCCTGTGAGGAAGTGTAGGGCAAAAAAATGAGCTCAAATAATTGATGAAATTTGTAGCAAATGAAGCTGACTGACTCCTAAATCAAGTGCATTCCATTCCACAGTGTCTCAAATGCTTAAAAACCAAACGTACGTGCATGTTCGTGTGTGTGTGTGTGTGTGTGTGTGTGTGCGCGCGCGTGCAGTACTGGGGTTTTGAGCTCAGGGCCTCCACCTTCAGCCACTCTGCCAGCCTTTTTTTGTGAAGGGTTTTTTCATTTGCCCAGGCTGGCTTCAAACTGTAATCTGCCTCCTGATCTCTGCCTCCTGAGTAGCTAGGATTACAGGCATGAGCCACCAGCGCCCGGCAGCCTACATATATGTTCTTTACTGAGTTCCCATCCTGCCTTCGCTGTAGTAACTGGACCCTGTAACCAGGGAACCAGTCATAGGAGACACTGGGGGATAAACAGAAATATATTGTGCTCCTAGATACTTGTATTTTGTAGTTGATAGCTACATTCTTTACTTCGTGTGACCTCTTGTTAACTTGGCTGACCGGTGATGCAACCAATGGCAGATCTGAAATGTGCTCCCTGCCTAGACACCTGACTTCAGCGATCCCTCTATGCCTATCAGAATGGCCACCAGGAGGCCAGACACAATTGTAAATGACAGCGTCCAGTTCTATAGGAAGCACAAAACTGAGCCACTTAGAGATTCGCATTGGACCTGCTGGCATAGAGATGATATAGAACACTGGTCTCTGACTGTCATTTCTTGGTGTACTGAACAGACCAGATCCAGCCCTGAGAGAAGAGGAAGCCCTGGGTGGGGGGTGGTGTCTGCCACTCAAGTGAGCCTGAAACCAGGGCTTCATCTTTGGTGTTATTCAGAGCCCTCATGTTGCCATGTTTATCCTTCAGTTAACAGTAATAAATCTCTTCTAGTAAGTGACTGCTTCCAATAATCTCTCCTAAGTGACAGATGATTGGAATTATAGCTTGTTTGTGGAGAAGGAAATAAACTCATGTGACCTGAAGCGAAAGAGACAGATGAGACAATAAAGACTGGGAACACATCCTGTAGAACCAGGCCAGGAATCAAGAGAGGAGGCCAAGTTATTGTTTCATTATTTTCTTTAAGGGAGTATAGTGGAGATTTTACTGAAGATTTTTTGGGGTGATAGGAAGAGAGCTTTCATTATGTATCAGAGGGACATACTGAATTTCTTGGTAGGTGTCCCCGTCCTTCATTCTGAGCTGCCTCATTTCTTTCTGTCCTAGCTCCACAGCCAAACTTACAGTTCCATGCTTTTCAACACTGACTAGGTTGTAGGATCTCAGAGAGAAACTCTTGTATCCTCTTCCTGTCTCTTGGCCTTCAAAGTAACCCCACTTCCCATCATAACCCACTGCTGACAGCAAGGTCATATTCATGCCTGCACACTGTAAGCTGTTTGAGGTTGGAAAGCCTGGCCTGTGTTCCTTTATGTGTCCTACAGTGCCTAACGATGCTCTCTGAAATTCACAAAATTCCTAGAGATTTTCGTGTTCAGTACCAGATTAAATCAATATTTGAAATTGCTTTGAAAACCATTAAATAAAAGAGACATAAGTAGTCAGGAAGTAAGAAGCTCCATTGTCCAGAGCAAGACTCACATAGATCATAAATGTAGCAACTCGGTTCCCAGACTTCATCCTGTATAGGGGGCTGCTTGGCGACTGAGACAAAAATAGAACACATCATTGTTTTATGCAGATGGCACCAGAGTGACAGCCACGATCCCACCATTAGTACAAGAAGGGATATGGTATAGCCCTGATACACCGAGTGGAGTATATGCTCAATTTTGCTGACAAGTATTCAGTACACTTCTTTATTAGGCACTAATTTATTAGATATACAAATAATGAATTGTGTACTAATCAAACAGAACTACTTGTTAGTAGTGAAAGCGCTATATTAAACCTTTGTGTTCTTTATGGAACAAATACATTAATGTATAAAATATTATATATAATTTTTCTGTTATAATTATATCAAATCATAAGATTGGACTTCCAACTATTTTTCACAGAGATATACTATTTTCTTTTTTGTTGTGCGACAATCTGAAATATAATTTCCATACCACAAAATTTGCCCATCATAAGTATACAATTTGATGAATTTCAGCAAAGTTCTACCATCCCTACAGTCCAGTTTTAGAACATTTCCATCTGTTCGATAAGTTCCTTTGTTCTAGTTTGTAGTCAATACCTGTACAATCCTGGGCAACCCATTTATCTACTTTTTATCTGTATAGTTTTGCCTATAAATAGAATCATAAAGTAGTTAGACTTTTGTCCCTGGCTCCTTTTGCTTGCAGACTGTATGCAAGTGGACCAGCACATTAATGTGTGACAATACGTCTATGTCATTAGGTGTAGCAGCAGTCCACACCACTGAGTAGTAAGTATTCCATTGTGCAGAGGTGTCAAAACTTGTCCATTCACCTGTGGATGGGATGGGGCTCTTTCTAAATCTTAGGTATTACAAATAAAGCTACTATAAACATTCATGTGCAAATATTTTGCCTTTTTTTTTTTTTTTGGTGGTGCTGGGGTTTGAACTCAGGGCCTCACACTTGCTAGGCAGGTGCTCTACCACTTGAGCCACTCCACCAGCATGTGCACGTTTTTGCATAGACAGTATATTTTCTTTTCTCTTGAGTAAAATACCTGGGATCAAAATGGCTGGATCATACGTAGTTATAGCTTTAACTTTGTAAGAAATTGCCAAACTCTTTTCCAACGTGGCTGTACTATTTTACATTCCTCAGTAGTGTCTGAGAGGTTCAGTTCCTCCCTCTCTTCAGCAACATTTGGTATGCTCCACCGTTTTTTAGCTTTGCTGTTCTAACAGAAGCGCCATGCTATCTCATTGCAGTTTTAATTTGCATTTCCCTGAAGATGTTGAGTCTTTTCATTTGCATATTTGCCACCTATTTATCTTCTTTCAAGTGCTTAATCAAACAATCTTTTTCCCATTTAAAAATATCTGACTTGTTTGTCATATTACTGAGTTATAAAAGTTGTACATCTGCTTGGGATATATGTCCTTTAATGTATTTTTTTATTCATATAGTCCTTTAATGTATGATTTACAAATGTAGCCCAGGCTGTCCTTGAGCTGGAGGTCCTCCTACCTCAGCCTCAGTGCAGAAATCTGAGACAGATTTTCATTTTCTAATGGTGTTTTTGACAAGCAAAGGATTTTAATTCTGATGAGGTCCAATTTATTACATTTTCTTCATTTATGGATTATGTTTTGGTGTCTTATCTAATAAGACACTAACCTGTGGTCATAAAGAATTTCTCTTGGCTGGCTGTTGTAGTACACACTTGTAATCCCAGCTACTTGGGAAGTAGAAATAGGAGGATTGAGGTTGGAGGCAGCCCAGGTAAAAAGTCAATGAGATTTTATCTCAAAAATCAGCAGGGTGGAATGGTGCACAACTATAATCCCAGCTACTCCAGAGGGAAAGGTAGGAGGATCTCAGTCTGAGGCCACCTGGGCAAAAACACAAGACTCTATCTGAAAAACACTAAAAAGGACTGGAGGGGTGGTTCAAGAGACAGAGGGCTTGCCTACCAAGTGTGAGGCCCTGAGTTCAAGCCCCATTACTAAAAAAATATTTTTCCACTTGTTTTCTTCTAGAAGTTTTATAGTTTTGTATTTTACATTTAGGTCTATGATCTATTTTGCATTATTTTTCATAAATGGCATGAGAAATGGTTGTACAGTTATTGCCATTATTTTACAAGTAGATTATCAAATTGTTCCAGAACCATTTGTTGAAAAGACCATATTTTCTTCACTAAATTTCCCTGGCACTTTGTCAACAAAACAACTGACCGCTAACATGTGAATTTATTTCTGGATTCTCCATTCTGTTCCATCAATCTACACGTCTATCCTTGGATCAGTATTATACTGCTTTGATTCTCTTAGCTCTATACTAAGCTTTGAGATTAGGGAGTTTGTGTTCTCCAAGTTTGTAATTCTCTTTCAAAATTGTTTGGCTGTTCTAGATCCTTTGCATTTCCATATTCATTTTAGGATCAGCTTGTTAATTTCTAAAAAAAAAAAATAATAAGCCTTTTGCAGTTTTGATAAAGTTGGGACTGAACCTATCAATTTTGGGGAGGTCTTTTTTCTTTTCTGATTCTTGGTGTTGAGCATCTTTTTGTATGTTTGTGCTATCTATATACCGCAAGTCCTTTTCTCATTTTTATTATAATTATTAAGGCACATTAACTGTATGACTTAATGGTTTCCCTGTATGTTTCCCTACATGCATCTATTGTGCTTTGATTCTGTCCACCTTCTTGGTAGGGTCTTTTTACAAAAAACAAAATTTGGTATTGTCAACAAAAGTGGGCAGTTGAGATCATGAAGAAAGGAGAGGAACTGGGGGGAGGACAATCCTTACTGGTACATCCGCAAAGTGAAGTGGGAGAGGTAATTCCATCACAGGCACATTCTTCCCCCACTAGCAAATTCTGGAGGGGGAGATGTGGCAGATAGGAAGATAAAGCAGCAGCAATCGGCTGAAAGCAAAGCTTTCAGATATTCCTAGAATAAGAACCTTTGTTCTAGGGTTCCCTTAGTTTCCCTGAGAAACCTGTAACAGTTTTGCCTCAGAGAAATAAACAACGCACTGGCCCTCTACCTAGGAGACCCCATGGTTACCGTTGCATGGTCGAAGTGGGGCTCATAGTGTCCTCCGATCCCGTAGTTCACCACCTGGAGATACTCTGCATGGGGAGACTGGACATCAAGGCCTGTGAGGGCAGCAATGCGGTGGTCAAGGGTCCCCAGTATTGGGTCAACGGTGTCCTTCAGCCAGGCACTAAAACACAGATTGGCACATCAGTGATTTGACGTGAGAAATGACTACCTGATGTCTGTGCATGAATGAATGAATGAATGAACGAACAAACGAACAAATGAGTCATGTCAACTGTCAGAGGAAGGAAGGGAGGAAAAGAGGGAGGAGGCAGGCAGCCATGAATCCCTCATCACTCACGTCCGGTGTGCCTAGTCCACCTGGTCCTCTGTGTCAACAGTCACACATTCATTTACTCAACCTTCTCCAAGGTCCACTAACTGTGAGGCCTGTGCTAGATGCTGAGGCTACAGAGTGGAGGTTCACAGCACACCGGCTCATGACTCAATGACCCTAAAACTGCTATGTTCTAAAGCCGTCTGCAGCAGAGGGAGGCAAGTGCAATGGAGTAAGCTTGAGATGTGAAGTAATTAAATTTCAGCATGCACACTTGGACCTCAGCTACCTGGGAGGAGGCCGCAGGAGGATCACTTGAGCTCAGGAGTTTGGAGCCAGACTGGGCAGCACAGTGAGACCCTGTCTCAAAAGGAAAAAAAAAAAAGAAAGAAAGAAAGAAGGAAGGAAGGAAGGGGGTGGGAGGGAGGTAAAGAAGTAAGACTAGTCCCCAATTCTCTGTGCGATCCTGTCAGAACTTAACCTCTAATCTAAGGGTCAGTGTACTCATCTATAAAATGGGAGCAACGATAAGATCTAAGTCACAGCCTTGTGAAAACTGTAAGAGAAACGCTTATGGAGATGTTTGTAAGCATACATTACTGATCACTGTGAAACCCAGGAGATTCTCTGCTCCTTGGCTCCACTCTGTGCAAACCAGAACAGTCAAAGGCCAGAGCACAGCCCAGTTTCTTCCTGAATTCCTGAAGTGGAAACTTTGGAGTCAGAAATGAGGTCTCTGGGAAATGAGGATGTATTCCCCAAATAAAGCCATTGGCCCTCCTGGGGAGACCATGAGCCTCTGAGGGAAGAGAGGCCGGGTCTGCTAGCAGAAGACCACTTCTTTTCTGTTTAATGATGGGTTCATTTGTTCATTCCTCCGCATGGAGTACAATGCAACTTACTAGTTCGCAAAGACATCCAAGGCAATGCTCATGGACTATGTGGGAGAAGAAACACAAATATAACTAAGTAAATATTAGAGTGAAAAAATGAAAAATAGACTTTACAGTGCTGAGGAGCACATAGGAAGGAGAAGTTAATTCTGCCGGACACTGAGGTAAGATGGCAACATTTAAGCAAAATTTTGAAGGGTAAAAATTTCAATGATGGAAGAGGCAGGAGTATTTGGGCCTAAACAGCCAAGCACAAACATAGGGGTGTGGCAATAAATAACATGTGCAAATGCTGATGCATCTGGTCTGTGACAGAAGTAATGGGAGAAAGTTCTGGAAGAGTAGGCTCAGTGCATGAGGTGGAAAGATGAGGAGCCCATGGGAGGAATCTGAATTTTTCTTTATTGTTTAAATGTGTCCTCGGAAGTCCACGTGTTAGAAACTTCATCCCCAAATTCATATGTTAATGGATCTGGGGGGAAATGAGGCTGCCATACTGTCATCAGCAGCTTTCTAAGAAGAGAGACCTGAACTAGCACACTCACTCTCTGTCTCTCCATGCAATGCCTTCTGCATGTTATGATGCAGGAAGAAGGCCCTGACCAGGGGCTCTTAAACTTCCCAGCCTGCAGAACCATAAGCTAAATGAACCTCTGTTCTTTATAAATTACCCATCCTGTGGTATTCAGTTATTGCAACAGAAAATAACCTAGGACGTGGTAATGGATAGTCAGTGGAGGCATGTGAGCAAGAAAATGACCTGGCATATCAGAGTTCCCTGGTGACCTTTTGTTTACTTGTTTTGCTTTTATTGAGACAAGGTCTTGCTATATAACCCACACTGGCTTTGAACTTGTTCTGTAGCTCAGGTTGGCCTCGAACTTGCAATCCTCTGCCTCCATCTCCTGAGTGCTATACAGGCATGTACCTGTATAGCACTAAGCCCCTGGTGACATTTTGAGAGACCATTTCCAGTGAAGTTATGAGGACAGAACCAAAATTCAAAGGACTGAGGAGTGATATGAGGGGAGAAGGAGGAGGTAGTTTGATCTGAAAACTGAAGAAACTGCTTACTCCCTAAAAGCATGCATCTAAATAGAAGGTTGAATTTTCTCTATCACACTAGAATTTCAGAAAGGTTAGAAAAAAAACAATAAAGCTGAGGTTATATAGACCTCCCCAAATTTACAGAAAAACTCCCAATATGAAAGATCCCCAACTTTACCAGACCAAATAACGTCAGCTAAAATGATTCTGAATCAAAGCTTTCATCTCTCACCGCACTTCCCAGATGACACAGACCAACCCCATCAGATCTGGCCTCTCCCCAGGGATAGAGTCACTGTCTCCCATGGCTTTGATGGACAGTTCTCCCTCACTATCTCCCCAGTCCTGTCCTCACCATGCAAGCAAAAGGCTGGGGTCGGGGGAGTCAGGGATGGAGAGAAAGGATAAAGCCAGGTGCTCACAAGGAACTAATCTTCTGGCCCAGCTGTCATGTCCAGGGAGTTCATGCCTCCCTCTTGCCTGGGCCTTGTCAAGTCATGCTTTGCATATGAGTCAGGAGGTGGGTGGGCTTTACGGAAGTCAAACTCTGAATGTGGGAGGACTGTAATCTTTGGAAGAGCAGTTCTGGTTAGGAGAACAACTAGATGCTTATGTTCTGGTTTTGAGTTTTTTCAAGTCTTTCTCTAATTAATTAATTAGTTAATTCCTCAGATGATATAACAATCCATGGAAGACTGGGGTGATGGGAGTGGAAACTTCTCCCTCTTAGAAAGGAATGTATGTGTCAGACTTGGTGGTACATGCCTATAATCCCAGCACTCAGGAGGCAGAGACAGGAGGATTGAGAGCTCAAGGCCAGCCTGGGCAACATAGCAAGATCCTGTTTTAAAAAAAAGAGAGAGAGAGAGAGAGAGAGAGACAGAGGGAGACAGAGACATAGAGAAGGTATAGACATTAACTACAGGTTCTCTACCAGCATCTTTGACCATCCCTGATAGCCCTTGCTAACCAGGCAGTCAGCTGTGCCCCAAACCCGAGTGAGGCAGCAGGCAGGTCCCCTGCAAAGAAGGGCCCTTCTTACCTTTTGCTGATGCGGTACTCCACTTGTAACTGCCTTTCTCCTGAGGCCACCACTGATCTCTGGAGCTGGTGGGAAGGAAAAGATAAAGTCCAAGTGGTTATGATGCAAAGGGAAGGACTGTCCTGTCCCCTCCCTGAAGCATACAATTGGTATTTGCTGATGAAATGGCAGATAGGGCCAAGAGCAGGAAAGCCTGGGTTCTGTGGCAGCCTGCTCCCTTTGAACAATTCTGACTAAAGCCCTTCTGCATAAAATCACAGTCGGTTTTGTTGCAACTGCCTTGATTATGAAAATACTGCACCAGGTTTGAAGTCACTAGTTTAACCTAATGCCTCTATTTTGTTCTGAATTTCTGGACATAGTATTTAAATTATTATTGCTATTATTATTGTTATTTTGCTGTGCTGAGGTTTCAACTCAGGGCTTGTGCTTTCTAGGCAGATGCTCTATCACTTGAGCTAAGTCCCCAAGCCCACATTTAAACTATCTTTTAAAAAGTGACTCCTTAATGCAAATGTACTGTTCTGAGGACAGAAAGATAAGCATCAGTCACATCAGGGGAGGTCTACTTCTGCCTCTGTCGTCAGAGTGGCAGCTCTGTGAGGAGAAGGACTTGGTCTGTGTTAAGTGCTATATCCCCAGGGTACAGAGGGGGCCTGGCAGGAAGTAGGTGCTCAGTATTGGCTGAACAGACAGATGAGTGGAGCTCATGAAAGGGACTCCGGGGGTCAGGCAGACAAGGCCAAGGCCAGGGCAACGAACTACACAAGACCAAAACCCTTCCCTTCTCTAAGGCTACTGTCCCTGCCGCTGAACCAGCTGGACAATCTTGGAAAAGACTCTTCCTTTTCCCTGGACCTATTTCCCCATCAATAAAACACAGCATGCCAACATGTTCTTGGGAGTTCCTCTCAGCCTGCTGCTCTACAATACGAGGGATTCAGGAAAGCCGGTGACTGACAGTTCCTTCCATCCAGCTACCCTCAAGCCATTCATAGAGGAGAGATGCTGTCTTTTGTTATGTTAGGATAACAATCCTAGGAACCCTCCTTCTCCCAATATAAAGGAGCTATTGAAAGGAACCTAATTCCTTTCAATAAACACTTATTGTCTGACTACATGTCATTCATTTTTTGAATCAAAAATTTTTGGTTGTTTTCTGTGCTAAGCACCATGCTGGGCTTTAGAAGAACAATAGAGCAAAGCAGAGAAAGACCACGCCCTAAGTCAGCTAACGGCCACAATCAGCAGTGCAAGGCTCTCTGGGAACATAGAACAGGGTCGCTACCCATTCTTATGGGGCGAGAGAGCCTTCCCAGGATGTTCACAGACGCACTGCAATCACACAGGTGGAGAATTCCAGGCAGAAAGAAGAGAGTATGGCACACAAAATAAAAGTCTGTTTCGTGCCACTGGCATAGGGAAGGGGAGGGGAAGATGTGGCTGAAGGGGCCCTAACAGCCAGGCCACAAAGCTCTGTAAGCACTCAAGGCAAAAGTGACCCATTAAAGGTTTAAGCAAGGTCAAATCTGACCTTTTAAAGGTACTCTGACTGGGCACAGTGGTGCTCACCTGTAGTCCCAGCACCCAGGAGGGTAAGGCAGGAGGGTCCCTCGAGCCCACGAGTTCGAGGCCAGCCTGGGAAACATAGTAAGACCATCTTCAAAACAAAATTAGTCTGACTGCAATGGGTAAAACATGGGGTGAAGTATTTCAAAAAGGACCCTGTTGCCTGCTAGTTTAGTCTAGCTGGGGAGATAGGACACTAGCCCATGACACAGATAGTAATAGCAGTCAACATGAGAATGGCAGAATAACTTAAAACTTAAGTACCATACAACTGGAGACAACAGCTTCGATTCACAGGAGGAACAGGTTTATATATATGGCTCCAGAAAGTGCTCTGAAAAACACAAACACTCAAAGAACCCGTGGCCAGAGCTGTCAGGGCTACTGGGCCCAGGGGGTGTGGGGTTTCAACTGAGTCTTGGTAGGACGTGGGTAGAGAGGGACATGATTGGAGGGAAGGCTTTTGGAAAGGGACAGTGGATCAGAGCCCAGAAACTCCACGCAGCCATGGAAACGCCTATGCTCAGTTGCCACCTTGGAGCCACGCCCACGGAAGCCCAGGGCTTATTTCTGGAAAAGTCAATGACCAGTCAGGCATTAGGCAACCCCATGAGCTGCTCGTGAGGGAGGAGTGTAGCAAAGCCTGTGCATGTCAAATGGATGACCTGGCCAGGAAGGATTCAAGAACATCTCTGGGTGGGCCGCCTGGCCTCTCACCATGGCAACAGAGCTGTTCCGAGGAAAAAGCAGCTGCTGGCCAAGTTTGACTGCTAGCTCCCTGAAAAGCCTACGCTCTTGAAAATTCATCATTCTGTCACCAGTGGAGCTTAATCATCTCCAGAAACCTTCTGACAAAGAGTCTAGACGTGCCTGGAGGGACTCAGGGATAAAATGACAACTGCTGGTCTTCCCCCTCCAATCCATGTCTGCTATCAGGATTGTCCTTAAAATCACAGACTCAGGCCACTCTCCCACTGCCTACTGGATAAAATCTAAACTCTCCAGCATGATGTTTATGGCCTTGGTTAATGGTGTCTCACTGTCTAACCCTATCAACTATCATCCTTCACTCTGTACTTCACACACTCCAGCCTAAACTACCCCTGGCTCTCTGAACATGTCACCTCTCAGGCCCTTGCATCAGATGACTTGTCTTCCTGAAACACCCTTTGCCATCTGTCCAGCTGATGGCCTCAGTCCACAGTGGAAGAAGACTGCTTCTTCCTCTCCCTTTCAGCGGCTCTCCTCTCACCACCTCCTCTTTAGAGGAAGGCTTGCATCTTCAGGCCCCCATAGCACAACTCCTTGCACACCCCAACAACAGAACATCTCACAGTGTGTTGTAAATGTCTGCTTTCCTCCAAGGCAGTCGGCTTCTTTGGGAAAAGGAGAAGTGCCTCATCTCTTTTATTTATTTATTTATTTATTTTTTGCAGTACTGAGGTTTGAACTCAGGGCCTACGCTTTGAGCCACTCCACTAGCCCTTTTTTTATGAAGGGTTTTTTCTAGACAGGGTCTCACAAACTATTTGCCTGGGCTGACTTCGAACCAAGATCCTCCTGATCTCTGCAGGTGTGAGCCACTGGTGCCCGCAATGTCTCATCTCTTTTAAAAGCCCAGCACTAGCCCAGTGTCTGGCATAAGCAGGCTGTGTTTGTTCAGTTGAGGAGTGACTAAATGTCTCCCTGGACATAATCTCTGGCTGGACATAAACAATTCTGAGACAGAATTAATGTCCCATCTTTAAAGAGGCAACAGGCTTACGGATACGAGATAGGCTATATATTTTTCTTTCTCTTTTTGGCGGTATTAGGGTTTAACTCAGGGCTTTGTGCTTCCTATACAAGTGCTTTACCACTTGAGCCACATCCCAGCCCTTTTTGCTTCATTTTATTTTTCAGATAGGGTCTTGCACTTTTGTCTAGGGCTTATCTGGAACTGTGATCCTCCTACCTTTGCCTCCACCTAGTTGGAATTACAGGCGTGAGCCTCATGCCTGGCCCTATTTCTGTTTCTAAATATTTATCACACTTCCTAGAAGGACAATGAAGCATCCCCTTTGCACTGGCATCAGTGTAGCACCTCCCCTGTGGAAGGATTAGACAGACTCCCCTGTGGCCTGCAGTGGTGGGTACATGTTTTGCTTTCATCAATGATATGTAGGTGGATGGAAGTGATGTCTGTACTTCCAAGCAGGAGCTTTCAAAGCCAGTTCATGTTTGCCATATCTGTCTTTTTTTCTTGCACATGAGGTCAGCAATGTCCAAGCAGAGGCTGTTCTGCCAGGCCAGGTCCCGGAGTAGAGACCAACCCAGAACAGACATGTAACATGGGAAAGTATCATCTCCAAGATTCCAGGACTTCTTGTTACCAAGCATAACCTAGCCTAAATTAACTGCTACAAGGAAGAACTGTAGAGTGACAATCAATGTACCCCTGATTCAGTCCTGACTACAGCTACGTGTATAACTTTAATCAAGCCCATTGCCCACTCTGGGCCTCAGTTTCCTCTTTCACAAAATCGTGAAGTTGAACTAGAAAATCTTTCCACTCTATCAGTCTGTAAAGAGGTACTAGGATTTCATTCCTTGTCCCCAGCATATTGTTTTCTTCTACTAATTATATAGAATGATTGACATTTTGGGAAGTTTCCTTTTTATTTTTTGAAATTAAATTTATATACAATGATATGCACAGGTCTTATGCATACCATTTGCTGACTTTTGAGAAATGCGTATATCTAGGTACTCCCTATCCCTAGAAAGATATTGATAGCACATTTTGACACCCCAGAAAATCCCCTGGTACCTCCTCCCAGCCAGTTCTTTCCCTGCAGAGGCAACCTCTATTGTGATTTCCCCGCCATCAATTAGTTTTATGGAATAGTTGGCATTTTGAACCTTTGGACTTCACTCCTGAATTCTAGCCATGTGGAGACACAAAGGGGCTTTGGGGGACACTCACCCAAGGTTCTGCAAGCTCTCGAATTTTCTGAGCCTCCGAGTCACTGACAAAATTATGGTAGAGAACAACAAAGGGCCGTAGGTGGATGACCTCCTTCCGGATGGGCTGGAGTAGCAGGTAGGGGCTGGAATTGGTCTCATAGGAGCAGTAGAGGCTGGGGATCTGGTAGTGAATGGGCTGGAAGGAAAGAGGAGACTGAATGTGAGAGAAGAAGGGTCTAGAAGCAGAAACTGGCTCCCTGGAACTGTGGCATAAAAAGCTGGAATTTGAGCAGTAACGTGCTCACTCAGATGCTGTCCATGTGAGCTTTATTGTTTTGAAGGCACCCTAATTCTAGTGTGTCACTCTAGCCAAGCCTGTCTCCCCCTTGCCCTTTCGCTT